GGGTGGGTGGTTGCGTAGATGGGTGGATATGTGGATGGATGGGTGAGTGGATGGGTGGATGGATGTGTGGATGAGTTAGAGGATTGGTGGATGGGTACATGGGTAGATGGGTGGATGGGTGGATGGGTGTATGGATGGATGCATGCTTGGATGATTGATGGGTAGGTGGGTGGATGGGTGGATGGGTGAGTGGATAGGTGGATAGATGTGTGGATGGGTAAGAGGATTGGTGGATGGGTACATGGGTAGATGGGTGGATGGTTGTATGGATGGATGGATGCTTGGATGATTGATGGGTAGGTGGGTGGATGGGTGGATAGATGGGTAGGTGGATGTGTAGATGGCTAGAAGGATGTGTGGATGGATGGATGATGGATGGATCAGTGGATGGATGGGTAGATGGATTGGTGGATGGGTAGGTGGGTGGGTGGATGGATGGTTGGATGGATGCTTGGATGATTAATGGGTGGGTGGATGGATGGGTGGGTGGATGGATAGATGGATAGTGGATGGGTAGGTGGGTGGGTGGAGTCTGAGGTCAGCCTTTAGTGACTGAGGTTAACATTTTTTTAAATGAGGCTTAATACTTCGGCAAGGAACCATCTCAGAAAGCAAATGTTGAGCAAACTGGGAGGCAGTAGTCACCTGGAACCACCAAGCGTGCTGATGGGCAGGCGCCATGTTCTCTGCTGGTCACTTACAGATTATGCGGAACTGTAGCCAGAGCTCACTATGGAAATTTAAACCTGTGTATTTACGGTGGATCGTAAGGGATAAAAAACAATGGAGGGTAAATGATTCCTGACCATCACCTCACCCTCGTGACAGTAGTTACAGTTGTTAAGCCCTGCGTGTGTGCCCGCCACTGGATAAGTGATGCACATGCCTGTCTCCCTTGTCCCCATAACACAGGAGGGATTGAGCACCAGGGAGATTAAGGGGCTTGCCCAAGGCCACATCCAGGGAGTACTAGCAGGGAGACGAGTCCGTAACCATGTGGCCCAGCTGTGTGCCTGCCGCCCCGTCGGCTCTCAGCTTCCTGAAGCAGCGTCTGGGAGGCACTGTAGCGCACTTCCTCCTTCGTGACAGCAGTGCACGCCCCAATGGGGAGAAGTCCACGTTTCTTCATGGGAATTTGGCCTCACAGCTCAACTGACATAGTGACTGATGAGAATTTTAAATGAGTCTTTGGAAACCAAAGTCTCAGCCACAGTTATAGCCAGTAAAGGAGAAACCCTCTCTGGATTCTAGAATTATGTGGCTTGAGAGAGTGGACGAGAAGCCACTGCCCACAGCCGTGGGGTTCGTGGCTGACGCCAGGCAGCTCCTGGGCTAACGGGTCTGCACAGAGCAGACACGGCAGGGCCCCGTCATCCATCTGCCTCAGTGGGCGAAGTCTCTGCTCACTGTCTCCTCCCTTCTGGGCCAGCCGCTGTGCCCCTCGGTCCCACAGCACCGTGTTCCCTGTGTCCTTCTGTCCCTGTGTCCCACGGAGGGTCAGGTCTGTGTGCAGTGAGTGAGTGGGTGTGTGTGACACGATTTCTATTGGGATTGGTCCTCATTGTCACTGTGGTGAGAGGGAAGGTTGCTGGGGCGGATTTGGCGAGTGTAGGTCCCTGTGGACTTTCTTCTTTGAGAAAGTTGGGAGCACTCGCTCCACGTGCGCTGCTGCGAGGGCAGGTGAGCCCAGTTTTGTCGCCAGGCGGGAGGCTCGGCCTCTGGACGTTTCCTGCGCATCTTCTGGGTGCAGCGGCCGCTCCGAACCGAACGCCTCCGCGCCCGTGCAGTCTGTTTCCGGCGTTGAGTGAGAGCTCTGTGGCCGGCGGGCGGGCCATGGGAAGGGGTGGTGGCGTGGGACTTGCTGAGTCACGGACCGAAGAGCAGAGGTGCCTGGTGGGGAGGCACCGGCAGGAATCAAACCCGGAACGTCGTGCTCACCGCGCTGCCTGCTGACCCGTTGCGGCTGGGGAGAGCCGCTGCCCGTTCTGAAAGCCGCGGCGACGGTGCGTTTGTTCGGGACAGCCGTGAGGGCCGGGCCGCGCGTGCACCCTCCATCCCGGGCGCAGCTCGGTCTTCCCCGTGGAACAGCGCGCGCCTTGCGTCCGCTGGCGTCCGGTGCGGTTTGTGTGGGATCGCGCCGGTCTCCAGCCTCCTGTCCCTTCCGCATCAGGCGAGCCTGTCTGCATTCTTAAGTGTGTTTTGTTTATGCGGAAGTGAAATCAGTGCTGGAAGTTCCTTCTGAAGTCAAGCATTCAGTTGCTGACCGTCTGGGACTGTGCGAGGCTCTGGGACGCAGGGGGGCAGGACGGCTTCTGTCTGCGTTCCCTTTGACCGCAAGCAGTTTCTGTTAGTCGGGTCAATGAGGCCACAGATGTCAGAGCGTGAGGAACCCGTGGCTGATGCCGGAGCTGAGGCCGGGGAGGTGCAGAGACGTCCTGGCCTGAGTTCATTCCGCCCCGCTTCTGTGTGGGCCTCACAGGGAGCAGTTACAGTCCGGTCCCCGACTGCCAGGGTCGACGGCGTGCACGACACGCTTCGTGCCCTCCCAGTTTCAGGCACCCCTTCTGACTGTGGTGCCACCCGTGCCTGCAGCCCCGTCTCAGAAACAATGACCGTGGAGACCGCGGCCCGTCAGCCCAGAAGGGATCCCAGGCGCCCAGGGAAGTCTGGAGTGGACACGGACAGAAAATGTCTTCGATGGCAGTGACGCTTGCCTGGCAAGAAGGAGACTGTGGGGGAGCGTGGGATGCCACACGGGATGTTCGGAAACAATCGCTTCCTTAGGGCCATGGGGCAGGAGTCCCCTGGAAAAGCGAGGTTGGTTGGATGTGAGCGCGACTGTACGTTTTCTCCCACAGTAGGCTCGACCTGCTCATCTGGAAAAGTTGGTGAGTCTGGGGCTCAAGACCCTCCTCTTGTGCCTTTGTCATGGACAAGCTCGCTGTGACCGGGCAAGGCTGTCTCCTCCATCAATCAGCACGGCTCCGAGGCAGAACCCCGGGGGCGGCGGGGCTGGCACAGCGTTCTGGGAGCGTCTGCACGTAGCTCGGACTTCACAGCCGTGGCCAGGGGGCCTGGATGTCAGCACCTCAGGTGAGCGGCAGGTTTGGTGGGGCTGCCGTGCAGCCTGGCTGGCGCGGTCTGCCTTCTCCTGCTGGCTCCTGGCTCGTCGCACGGAGCAGCCGTGACCCGCTCTCTCTGGACGGGCGTCAGCGCAAAGCCTCTGCCGGCCGGGCCCGCTTAGCCGTGGGTGCTGAGAACTTCTCGTGTCTGTTGGCGGGCGAGAGCTCCCAAAGGTGGACGCATTAAAAAACCTGAAAAGCCTCAATTTCTTAATTTACAGGAAGCAGAAAAGAGCCCGCAGTCCACTCAGTTCAGAGCACGGCCTCCGTGAGGCCATGGAGAGAGTGAACTCTCCCTGTGCCTGTGACCTCGGGGAGCAAAGCCTCGACGATGACCGTCCTGCCTAAACCTGCACTTGGGAACCGGACGCATCAGCATGGGATACTCAAGAAGCAGCAGTCGGGGCTCCCCGGGGTCAGAGGCGGGACTCCGTCGGACGGTGCTGTTGCCGAGGGAGACCTCGCCATCAGGAGGCACTGGATGCCGAGCACCCAGACGAGCGAGAGCGGACGTGTGGTACCCGTGACGACCACGCCGGCAGCGCCCCTCAGCCCGGGCAGGGGGACGCGGCAGCAAACCTGCTCACAATGGGCAGCATGGCCCCAGGAAAATGCACATACACCGTAGCGGCAGCCCGTTCTGGTGACCCAGTGGTGCCGCGCGGTTGACCCTGACGTCCGTTAACGCACTTACTTCTCCCCGTCAGCGGCCACGGCCCTGTAGTGGCGTTAAGAGGAGGACAAGGACCTTCGTCCCGGGACACCCACAGAGTTGCTCCTCGGGAGCTTTCCGGCGCTCCCACAGGCTGCATTTCCCGCCGCCGCCACTCGGGGGTATCTGTCTGCAGTCTGTTGGCGGCCGGCGGGCTTAGCTCCTCGGGTGACCCGCCGTGTCTCTCCCTCACCCTCCAGCCTGTAGGGTCTTTCCACTGGACATAGACTTCTGAATGAAAGGTTTTTTCTTTTAACTCTTCAGATATGTCATGCGATGTGTGTTATCAAATCTACAATTACCAGCTGAGTCAAAGACCTCATTGTCACAAGGCACGCAGTGTCACTCGGGCCCTCTTCTGCCTGAGGTCCGCCGCGGCTGCGTCCTGCCATGTCACGCCTCATGCGTGTCCTCGCCCGTGGTTGTGGCGAGTGGCCTCACCTTCTCCTCTTCTCAAGAGGTGCCACTGCGTGGCTCTGTGTCCACTATCCTTGGGGTCTGTTTGGTGTCTTGGCTTTCAAAGTTAATGCAATTTGGGGGAATTGCTAGAGGTTTTTTCCCCATTAGTGTTTTGGTCCCTCTCAGTCCCGCTCCTTCTCGCTTCCACTTGGAGTCTCGTGCCTGAGGTGATGCCGCAGTTTGCCCCGTTTCCACTCGGTCTTTCTCAATTCTTTTTTTAATTTTAAAATAAAAATTTCATTTACTTATTTGAGAGATAGAGAGAGCAAGAAGGTACAAGCAGGGGAGCGGCAGAGGCAGAGGGAGCAGACCCCGCCGAGCAGGGAGCCCGACGCGGGGCTCCATCCCAGGACCCTGAGATCATGACCTGAGCCAAAGGCAGACGCCTCACCGACTGGGACACCAGGAGCCCCCTTTTACCTGTCATTGAGATGATAATAGTTTCTGTTACGTATCTTGAGATTCACTAACCCGTTGCTCCCCGTTGCCCAATCTGCGGCCTGTCCTGTGAGTTTGTAAATCGTGAGTGCTGTGCTCCCCGTGTACCGAACTTCCTCTGCTCCTTGTTCAATCCCAGGTCTCTGCTGAGCTTGCCGGAGGCCTGCTCTGCCCCTGTTTGGGGCCATTGTTTACCTCCTTGCCACCTCTTCTGGTGGCGACTGCCGCTCCTTGGTGTCATCTGTGCTTGCCTTTGTGTGTGTCCCCAGAAACACTCGTCCAGAGCCTCCTGAAGGACCTGGGAAGGCAGCCGGCGCCGGCGGAGGGCCTGAGCCCCCTGGAGCTCGGCGAGATGGCCCACATGGTTGCTGCCGCCGTACGGGGAGTGGGTGCAGACGGCGAGCTGCGAGGAGCTGAGAAAGGAGCCGCAGGGGAGCCGCGAGAGGCCGGCGTCGGCAAGCAGGCTGGGGACAGCGGGACAGGTGAGCCTCCCAGCCCGGGGCCACGTACACCTGTGGCTTCGCAGCACGAGGAGGCTGCAGAGGCCCGGCTTGCCAGGCTGGGCAGCCTTCCTTCTGCGGGGGAGACGCCGACTTGGAGGGACGGTTTTTATCTGTTCGAACTTTGCCTCTAAAAGCTTTCTTAGCAGGCTCAGCCTAGCCGAGCAATTATGTTGGAAGGCAAATTGCTCTCAGTGCTGAGGTTCAGGGTTAGATAAAAAAAGAGTGATAGAAAGTGTTTTTGTTTGGATTGTGCCCGTGAATAGAGTCAAATATTTGAATAACACAGTAAAAAGGCTTCATTTTGCTTGAGGCTCACTTCTGCCCTCCCAGGCTGCTCCAGGGAGAACCGAGAGCCCCCCCGACTCTCCAGTGTCCCCGTGTGTGTCTGTATGTGTGTGTGTGTCTGTCCGTGTGTGTGTGTCTGTCTGTGTGTGTGTGTGTCCCCGTGTGTGTCTGTATGTGTGTGTGGTGTCTCGTCCTCTGTGGGCTGGGACCCAGGCTGGCTCAGAAGCTGGCAGCAGGGTGCCCAGAGCCGAGGGAACCGGCGCTCCTCGGGACAGGGTTCTGTGTTAGGCGGTCCTGAATAAGCTGTGGGTGCCTCTCGGCGAGGGGGGCGCAGTTAGGGTCTGGAAGGGGCCTGGGCACTGGGCTTCATGAATTCACGAGTTCAGGGCTGTCGGCATTGCTGGTAGGATATTTAGGAAAGTCATTAACTCTGGGGACAGCTAACCTTGAGGTGGTTGGTGTAGACGCCTTCCTTTGCTTTTCTGTCGCTGGTAACTGCTGCTGGCACTGTGGGATTTTCTTGCTGTGGGAGACTCTGAGGATGACACACAGATCCTTGGGGCTGGGGACGCAGTTCATGACCGAATTCACGCCTATCTCTTAGCTGGTGAGCCCTCCCCATCCACGTTCCATGGAGCTTATGGAACACGGATACCATACTCCGAACAGAAAAGGGTTACCTTCTAGGCGAAACTAGGCTGATATCATCTTGCCTGACCCCCTGTGAAGGACGCTCCATGTCTGATGGGGTCCGGACGAGGGTTCTGATGATGCTTGTGTCTTCCACAGATGACGGCGGGCCGGACGGCGGAGGTGGAGCTGACGAGGAGGTACGGTGAGGCGTCTCTGCCTGTTTGGGTCACCTTAGCTCTAGGGCTGCGCTGGCGTCTTTCTGGTCATAGTTTGAGAACGTAGACAAAACACAAAGGTTCGTTGTTCTGTTTGTTAAACCTCTGCTAATCCCCAAATTGGGAGAAAGTATAAAGAGGGCATAAAAAATTGTGTATATTTTGATACCTACTAATGTCTACTTTCAGATCATACGGTAACATTTACCCATCGTAGAAATATGGAAAATGCGGTTAATACAAACTAACGAATGAATATTCCTTAGAATTTTCCTACCTGGGGCTGTGGACTGGATCCTTGAGGTCATCCCGTGTGTGATTCCCGGGCCTCATTCAGCTCGGACCTCCACAGGCCCTGGTCCGTCGGTCCTGCCCTGTCTGATACGGTAGCCACTGGCCCCAGGTGTCCCTTTACATTGAAGCTTGTTAAGACGAAGTAGATAAAAATTCCTTCCCTCAGTTGTGCTGGCCCCAACGTCCGTGTTCCATTGTGAACCGTGGGCCGGGTGGTTCGGAGAATGTGTGGGTCATGGCTGGAGGGTCTCTCGACTGCGCTGGTGGGAAAGGCCATCTGAGAAGGGCTCAGTCATGGGTGACGGCCCTCACGGTGGTTTGCGGCCTTTCCGGCTGAAGAACCTTTGCTCACTAGTGCAAGTCTTACAGATGCAGAAAATCAGTGTGGAAACCATGACAATGGCTTTAGGTGGTTCTACGGAACCCTTTTCTGTAGAGTGGAAAAATCATTTTGGTTAGTACTTCTGTTTCCATTTTATTTTCGTGGCTTTTGATTCAATGCCTGTTAGCAAGTAGCAAAAGAAAACATCTGCAATTCTCTTAAATGTCCATCAGAAATGCGGTTGGTGGCGGGGGAGTCGTGGCTCTAAGAATGCATCTTGGCAGAGGAGGGATGTGGACAGCGGGGCCGAGGGCAGCCAGAGCCGGGCCGCGGGGTCCGGGCTGCTCACACCTCGGCCCCCGTGGGTGCTCTCAAGACCCCAGTGTTTGCAGGCTCCCACCTTTCCTTCCTGAACAAGCCGAATTTTGATTCATTTCTCTGTTACTGGGGGTACATCTTCAAGCAATTTTTTTATTTTTCTTTTTTAAGATTTATTTGAGAGAGAGAGAGAGAGCACAGATGGAGAGGGGGAAGCAGGCTCCCCGCTACCAGGGAGCCCGACGCAGGACTTGATCTTAGGACCACAGGATCGTGACCTGAGCGGAAGGCAGACGCCCAACTCCTGAGCCCTCGCTGGCGCCCCTCAAGCAGTTTTTTCCCAACGGGCGTCTGAGTGTTGTGTTCTCTGAGCTCTGACTCGGAACATTTTCTGTTTCCTCCTCTCATGGAGCATAATTCGGCTGAGAACACCATTCTCTTTCTTCCGAAAGCTGGGGGACAGGGCTCCAGCCCTCCGTGGTCACTGAAATGCTGTGTACTGTCACCATTCAGGATCCAAACTTGAGCAGATGTTTTTTAACAAAATACTATTTTCTGTAACTATTTCAAAACACAAAGGAAAACTTCTGTACAATTTCTAGTCAACAATGGGATAAGTATTTTCCTTTATAGTCCTTCCTTAGTTTCCTAAAAAGCTTGAGTTTGATACGTGTGAAGGAAATCCACTTTTCGTCCTTCCGTCTGGTACAACACTGGAGCTTTCACGGGAAGCAGGAAATCCCTTGCCCGCCAGGAGGTGCCCTGGGGTGTGCCCTCCCTTCTTGGGCACCACCAGAAGCGCCAGGAGGGACCATTGGCTTCCCTGGGAAGCAGACTGGGGTCCCAGAAGGCTGTGTGGCCCAGTGGCAGCATCTCCGATGTCAGCGGGAACGACACTCAAATTCTGGACCGGCCAATCCCCGCCTCGCGGGCGTCGGGCACGTGATTAGCCTCTGTAAGCCCCAGAGTCCACTGACCGGAGATGAAACTAGGGCCGCGCTCCCGAGTTGAGGTGGCGATGAGGGACAGCGTCCACCGAGACTGAGCACAGCACCTGGCACATACTCAGGGCTGAGCGTGTCAGATGACGTCCGTCTGTCGGGACGTCACTTGAGTGGCTCTTGTCCAGGAAATGGGGTCAGGATGGGCGCGCCTCGGCTCTGAGGACCCAGAGTCCCCCAGGAGATTTGAGGCTGCAGGACATGTCCCCATGATGCTCACGCCTGATGTCTCCTCTTCCCTGTGAAATTGGGGGCAGGCGACGCCCCTGCACCGGCATCATGAGGACCCGGGAGTCTGCGTGGGTCAGGGTCCGGGACGGATCAGTAAACGCAGCGGCACGGCCATCACCAGGCACCAACTGCTCCAGAGCGGGGGGCTCAGAACCCCACGCGTGGTTGGTTTGGGCTTTTGTTTTTGTTTTGTTTGTTTTTAAAGATGTTATTTATCTGAGAGAGAGTGCGCACGCGAGCCGCAGAGGGACAGAGAGAGCGTCTCCAGCTGACTCCCCCGAGCACAGAACCCGACACAGCCCTCGTCTCACCACCCTGAGACCATGACCTGAGCCGAAATCAAGAGCCGGGCTCTCAGTGGACGGAGCGCCCCCGGCGCCCCCGATGTTGGCTTTTTTTAAAAAGACAGACCCCAACACACACACTGATGTAAAATCGGGCTCTTTAGAAAGGTGTCTGTATGTGAGAGAGAGACCGACGGGCAGGTGTGTGGCTGCATGAGGCTGGTGTGTGAGGCCCTCGTTCTCCCCTGGTCTGAACATATCCCGTCTGGAAGGGATCCTGAACGTGGCCACGCGGGCGCCACTCCGTCCCCGCCTGGTGCTGCCTGCCAGCTCTCTTGAACGTCATCTCACTGAGCCTTCTCTCCGCCAGGTCAGTCGTCTAGGCCTCAAACGCGGGGACCACCTGCGGCATCCTGGGTCCCCACTCTTTCCTGCGGCCCCCGTTCTCACGGAGCCCTTCAAAACGGAGAAGAAGAACTTGGAGACCCCCAGGATGCCCCCGACGTGGGAGGAGGAGAGCACTGGGGTGGAGGACGTGAGGAGTCAGACCTACTCCAGGGACCGGCTGGACAGGCCACGTCCCGCAGAGCCCCGGGGGGGCGGCTTTGGCGAGCTCCAGGCCTGGGTGCCAGGGCCCTCGCAGGAAGATGCTGGCCTTGAAGCCAGAGCCCAGGGACACCCCAGTGAGAGCCTGTGGCTGGCGGCCCGGCCTTCGCAGGAGGAAGAAGGCTACATTGTGACCGGGAATGAGTGAGTAGAGGCTCTGGTTTTTTCTCCCGGTGCCCAGCGGATGGGTGGAGGGGGGCGCGTTCATTCTTGCCCATCTTCACCCGGAGACACAGGAGGAGGTGGGCTTCCTGGTGTCGCGGGGGCAGGAGGGCAGCCGGGAGCCTCCTCGTCCATCACATGGTGCTGTGACCTGTGACCAAGGAGCCTGAGCTTCAGGGGGATTCTCCACGGAACAGAGCCCCTCCCGGCTCTTGGTTCCAGCCTTGTACCTGCGGTGCAGCCCGTGGGGCCCATGGACGCAGCGGCCCCAGGGCATGGGGGGCTGGGGTCTGCCCGGGGTTGCCTCCCTGCTGGCTGAGACTCCAGCCGTTTTAAGGTATTGGGACCCGAGTCATCCTTCAGAGGGAGACATGTTCATGGTAACAGGACGCTCTTCTCACTTTGATCTGCACGAATCATGGGGCCTCGTTCCCACAGTGTGTGCCCAGCTGGTGATGGGATCGGCCCCAAGCTCAGGTGCTCACCCTAATGACTCTGGCTTTGGACACGATGCTGTAGAATTGTGGTTTCCTCATGGTCTATAAGCAGGGTTTCAAGGGGGAGAGCACAGCCGGCCGTCCATGTGTGTGTGTGCGCGTGCACAGGTGTGCATGTATGTGCACGTGCACACACACGTGCGGATGTGCATGTGCACGCACAGTGTGGATAAGTGTGCACACAGGCATGTGTGTACCCATAGGTGTGTGCAGATGTGCATGTGTAAGTGCGTGTGTGCAGATTGTGTGCCTGCACGTGTACCGGTATGTGCGGGCGTGTGCGTGTGCAGAGGTGCGAGCGTGTGTGCAAGTGTGCGCAGCTGTGCAGGTGTGTGTGGACAGGCACACACCAGGTTCCGCCGTCGCCGGCACGTTAGTGCTCCCCGTCCGGGTGGTCCCTCACTGGTAGCTCGGAAGCTGCCTGGTGTCGGTGACGACACGCCGTGTGGGAGGGGCTGCGCCGTTTCTCACACCGGGAGTGCTCGCCTTCTTTCCGCACAGCCCCCCGAGCTCATGCTCGGCCAGCGGGCCGTCGTCGCTGGTGCATGGCGGACGACACCACGGCGGGGCAGGGGTGTCGCCTTCTGAGCCCACACGCTGAACGCCATCGGAGCCAGCTTGAGCGTAAGAGTCTCGCGCTGTTGGTGGTGTTTTCACTCGTGTTTTTAGAGAAGTGTCAGCGCTGACGCTTCAAGCTCGCACAGAAACACTGACTCCGTTTGCTCAAGTGCTTTTTACTGAGCCGCGTCCTCCCGTGTTGGACCTTTTTGCCCAGGTGCGGAGCTCCCCAGACCCACCCGTGCCGTCAGGCTCCAGTTCTCAGGTTGGGGACTCCCGGGGTGAGTGTCTTCAGAGTCGCGCCCTACAGAGCAGCACGAACGGGGATGTGAACAGCACAGGTGCCCAGGGCACAGCTCTGCTCCCTCGGGGCGAAGGCGGGACCGGCCTCCGCTCCTCCGGGACGCGGCTCTTCCCACAGCGTTCCTCTTCCGAGTTGTCGAAAGCCTTTGTGTGGATTTTCACTCCCTTGGGAAATACTGTTGCGTCGTGTGTGCGTGTATGTGTCTCTGTGTGTGCCCGTGTCTGTATGTGTTGTATGCATGCGTCTGTGTGTGGCCCGTGTGCATGTGTGCGCACATGTGTATACGTGCATGTACATGTGTGTGCACTGTGTATCTTGTGTGTGCACGTTCACGTGTGTGTGTGTGTGCGTGTGTATTCATGTGTATACCCGTGTGTGTGCACATGTGTATCTGTGTGCGCATACTGTTTGCATGCATCTGGTGCGCGTGTGCACGTGTGTATGCGTGTGCACGTGTGTTCATGTGTCTCTCTGTGTGAACGTGCGTATCATGTATGCTCGCTGCATGCATCTCCGTGTGCGCGTATTTGCACGTGTCTGTGTGCGCACGTGTGCTCATGTGTACGTGTATGTCTGTGTATGTGTGTGTGCCTGTGTGTGTATGTGTGTGTGTATGTGTGTGTGCCTGTGTGTGT